CTCACTTTCGCTCGCTGCACCCCTGCTCACATTTTTCTGGAACGGCTGAAACGATAGAGTGGATGGATGTTTTGGAAAACTTCCGGGATGCTATTCATTCCACTGACGTACGGCCATAATGATCACTATATGACCCACATCTCTGATACGGTGCTCTAATCAGGAAAGGAATTTATAATTAGTATATATTTGGTATATAACCAAGGAGGTTAATGTTTTTGAGTCAAAACACATTGTTTTTAATTTAAATATACAATGTAGCAATACAACATACATCGTCGAATTTGACAGATACAGTTTTTATCAACACATAGAGTCAAGTCGCTTCTCTGCAGTTCGGCAGAGTCAAGCCTCTTATATAGGTGTCCTTTTGGAGTCTGGCTGTTAAATTTTAAGTTTAAGTTGTATTATGTAAGAGTATGTTAAGCAAGTAGAGTGAGTAGCTCCTGATATTTCAAATGTTAATAATGTATACATGTACTTCTTAATGTATCTTATTCCTGGTTTTTGCTAACATGTGTAATAAACAGATAAACTGTTTATCGTGTTTTAGTTGTATATAAAATGATAATTAGACATGTTAAATTATAAATTATGGTTTGTATACAACTATATGTACTTCTATAGCATATGCCATACTGCAGCGTCCATCGTCCGTCAACTTTCCTTTACAACACTATTAGTTCTGAACGGCCAAGAAGATTTTACTAACTTTGGTCAGGAGCATCATTAGGCCAAGGGGACTCAATATTTTGTATAAACGGTGGGTGTGAGAGGAGCGGGTCCGAATAGGGGGAAAAGAGGTAAAACCTTTAAAATCCTTCTTCCACCGTAGGGATTAGGGGATTTTATCCTAATTTAGTCTGAAGCATCCTTAGACCAAGGGGACTCAATTTTGTATAAGCAGTTGGTGTGGTCTACCGGGGACAGAAGGGCGGGGCTCAATAAGAGAAATAGAGGTAAAACCTTTAAAATGCTTCTTCGACCATAGGGATGAAGGGATTTCTTCCAAATTTGGCCTCGAGGATCTTAGGCAAAAGAGACTCAATTTTGTATGAACNCTTCTGATAGGATTATATCCTTATTTAGTCTGGATCATCCTTGTGCTAAGGGGACTCAATTTTGTATAAACGGTGGGTATGACCCCCCCCCCTAGGGATATAGGGGTGGGGCTCTGTTTATATATCTCAAGTACTTACAGTACCTACCATGGAGTACTATATCTTTACATCATACCAATTATTTTAAACATATTCAGGTGAGCGATACAGACACTCTGGGCCTCATGTCTTAGATTCTACTTCAATACACACAAGATTCAATATATTATTGTTTTTGACTATTTTATCTGGCATCTGACTTACCATCAATATTGTTTGAATCGTAATCATTTGGAGGTCAATATCACTTTTCAGGTCCATATACTGGTAATTACATGTTCACTTGTCTTCAACAAAAGACCATAGTGATCATATTGAACCACTGTTGCATCAAATGTGGCATTAAAAGCTGTTATGAAAAGTAATAATGGGAGTTTTCCTATATTTTAGGTGCAATTGCTCTGTTTGGACCATTCTGAAAAATACAGCATAATTTTAGCAACTTTTTAAGTTTGAATGTAAGAAATTAAAAAAAATTGACTGTGTTATAACACTAAATTATCTTATTGTCAATTTCCATATATCAGTTCATGTAATGTTAGAAGTAATGATTGGTTGATTTCAAACATAATCAAAAAGAAATAATCTAAATAAACTGAGTCCTAAGATAAAATAATCAGTCATTTTAGTTCAGAAATGACACAGCATGTCTTGTTTTTATCTCAAAAACACTTGGAGTTAGGAGTAATACTTCTTAACTCATTTACCCCTGAAATTGCATAATGAACTATTCCAACCTTTGAATTGGAAGAGTATAAATGTGTCTTCAGGTATGAAAGAGTTCTGATAAATACATTTCTTTAGTTTACATCTCACAGAATAGAAGAGCTTTTATTATCATTTATTGCCTATGTTGAATATTAATCATTCAAAAATATACAAATATCTAGATTCAAAGCTATTCACTTACTTGTAGTTGATAACATTTTTTTTTTACTGTATTCGCAATATGAGAAATACAATACATCTTAAATTGGCTTATAACACAGATTACATACACCATCGATATAACCAATCATATTGTGACAGTTAAAGTTATTCCCATCTTTAATCAGGCCAATTGATTTAGGTATCCAGGTGAGCGATACAGGCCCTCTGGGCCTCTTGTTAGTGACTGAACAGTAGATAGAGGAGAACCAAACAACTCTGGGTTAAGATTCAAAACGGCCGGTATCATCAGATGATTAAAAAAGAACTCGTATCACTCTTCATCAAGAAGTACTTAATCAACCTGATTTGAATTTCCAATGACGGTTCCTTTTAGTGACTTAGAGTGAAAGTCGACCCCAGTCGTACTGCTTAGGTCTGACAGACAATCAGAAATTACTTTAGTATTTCACTTTTAAAATTGTTATTTCCCAGGAATTACTTAAGATATCTTCCGTAAGCTTTCACAAGTGGATTTGTGTCACAAAAGAAAAATAGTGTAGGAACCATCTACAGAATTAGTGATAAAAAAACTTAAAATATGATAACTGTTATGCTAAGCATTTATAGTAATCGTAACAACTGGTTAACTCATTGTCATTATCATGTCCCTAGGTGAAATATTGTACTAGGTGCCTTAGGCATAGTGTTTCAATGAAGTATGACACTAAACCCATTCAAACCAAAATTAAACCGAATCCGACTAAACATGTATTTACTAGGTTAATATAGATAGTTTGCTAGTTGTTTATATCGAGTTATACCTGTCTTGTTCAACAATATATCATATTGGTTTAACCATAAATTTTCTCGTTTACGTTTTAGAGGATACATACAGCCTTTTGGCTCAGAAATACAATCTTACAGATGATTGTGTTGTCCCAGTGAAAGATGCATCAAACCAAGAAGAACTAATCATCATATATGATCCGTCCTGTAATACAGAGAGAACATTGAAGGAGTTTGGACACAATGTAATGATTCGAAATCAAAAGTACGTCAGCAATGAAGGTGCCGTTGTTTCCAGCATCTGCAAAAATAAACAGTATCCAATCAGACCGGAAGACAAACACATTTTAAAACAGGTATTGAATCATCACGCAAAACGTCTGTTTGCTTCTCACTCGAATCTGAATATTATAACAACTTCTCCTGTTAAGTCTAAAAAAAAAAGGAGATGACATTTCTGAACGCCCTTGTATTGTCTTGGTGTGCAGCTCGAAAGGTTATATACCGAAAGGGGAGTCCAAGTTCCCTGACGAACTGATCTTTGAAAATACGTCAATCGTGGTAGATGTTAGGGAAGGATACTTTCAGTTTTGTCCTACTTCCTATTCCACATTCAACAGTTCTCTTTTCCATCAAAATATCAAAATGGGTTGTCGTTTTGGTATTGAAGGCGCGCACAACGCAGGAACTGTTGGTCCTTTTGTTGATATTGAGGGACACCAAATGTTTCTTACATGTGCCCATATCGTGAATGGTATCGATCCCAAAGGATATGATCTGAACAACATTCAAAACATGTTTGCTGAACAGCCGGATGCTATGACATATCCTCATTCCCAAACTCCAGGATATGACACAAGACGTTGCGGCGAAGTGCGGCGAGCTTTGTTTTCACCCAACAACGATATCAGTATAGACGCAGCGGTTGTCGAAATTACAGAACAGTCAAGAATACCAAGTAGGGGTGAATTTGCTATTGACAGCGAACGTAACTTAAAGGAGGCAGGTGAGTTACATATCATTGCATCGATATGGTAGTCAATACCACAGCATGAAATTTGTATTGATGTAAATAAATAAATATTTTTGTGATAAATCTCATAAAATAGCATTTATTTAATGACATATAACACAGGGTAAAGGGATATTTAAAATCAGGTTTTTCATAGATTTTTTAAATAACATGGAAATGAATTTTTGTGTTGGTTTTTTCAGGATTTGAAGATATGCCCCGCTTTGAATCTGGAGACATTCACGTTTATTCGGATAAATTTGACACTGATTTGCGAATCAACAAATTTGGAGCAACGACGCATGCCACACGCGGGGTGATCAGCAGCGATGGAACGTTTGCCCGACCTTTGACAACAGATTTAGAGCTTCAAGGTCAACCTGATGTGTGTGTAATGAAAAACCAAATGGAAGTGTACAGTTTGCAAGGCCATTCAAACTTCCTCTTACCTGGTGATTCCGGATCAGGTGTATTTGTGGTGAACAAGTTACCAACAGGAGAGCAGAATCTGACTTGTATCGGTCTGGCAATCGGCAGTACATCGTACGGTTCCGCTGTCGTCACGCCCATAGCCGCCGTATTAGATGCGCTCGGACTACCGAGAAAACTAAAACAATTTCCCTAAGATTCTCTGTGATATTCAACAAGAAACTAAGTACACAACATTTCTGTTGCGTCCTTTATCATTTTAGATAAATGTAGAATGTTCAGTAAATCTGTAATACTATATAGTTGAAAGTCAAAATATTAAAATTAATTTGTGCATGATAAAGTTTCGTTTCTGTTTAGTCACCGCTATTTTCACACGAAATATGAATTCTGAAACTGTGAAATAGCGATAACTTTACGGTACGGCATCGCTTCAGTCACGTTATCTCTTGAGTTACACGGAAAACTTCAGCTGTTCAAATGTAAAAGAAAACGTCATGCAGATGGCCTTCCGACAACCTTAGTTCTGGATTCCAGGTAAATCAGATGTTCTTTTCAATTTTGTTATAATCTTTATAGTTTCCTGTAGGTAGCCTACATGCATGAATTAGTTTTGTGTTTATTAATAATAATAATTTGATAATGCAACTTTGTCATTTCTGCAGAGGGAAAATTAACGTAAAATATTAAATTCTGCTAACTTTTACAAAGTCATCGAAGGAATCCAATATACAAGAAAATTGGGCTAGACCATAAATGTGGCTGCATTGTGTACCATACTGACGGCTATCTTATTTGAAGTATATCATTGTTTTTAATATAGTAGTAGTAAAAAACGAAACCAACATGATATTGAAATGTTTTTATCATGCAACTGGTAAAAAAGATTGCGATCAAATCAAGTTATTGCTGTGTCAGGCTGTAATAGTATTTATTTTGATGATAAGGCTCAATGAGTATGATTAGAAAGGTAAACATGCAAACCGAGTTATATGCATCATGTCAATCAATAGTTTTACCTTGTAGATCCTTGTTAGCTCACTTGGTCCGAAGGATCAAGGTGAGCTTATGCCATACCGTGGCGTCCGTCCGTCCGTCCGTCAACAATTTCTTTAAACGACTTCTTCTTCTTAACCACTGATTGGAGTTCAACTATATTTGATTGGAAGCATCTCTAGGTGGTGGGGATTCAAAATTGTACAAATAGTGGGGCTGAGGGGCGGGGCCAAAAGGGGTCAATTTGGCTATATTGCTTTAAGCGACTTTTTCTCTGGAACTAAGAGATATATCAACCATATTTGACTGGAAGCATCCTTAAGTGGTGGAGATTCAAAATTGTACAAATGGTGGGGTTGACCCCCAGGGGGCTGAGGGGCGGGGGCAAAAAAAGGGTATTTGGCTATATTGCTTTAAGCGACTTCTTCTCTGGAACTAAGAGATAGATATCAACCATATTTGACTGGAAGCATCCTTAGGTGGTGGAGATTAAAAATTGTACAAATGGTGTGGCTGACCCCCCAGGGGGCTGAGGGGCGGCGGCAAAAAATGATATTTGGCTATATTGCTTTAAGCGACCTCTTCTCTGGAACTAAGAGATATATATCAACCATATTTGACTGGAAGCATCCTTAGGTGGTGGAGATTGTACAAATGGTAGGGCTGACCCCCAAGGGGGCGGGGCCAAAAGGGGTCAATTTGGCTATATTGCTACAAACGACTTCTTCTGTAGATCTATGCACTAGATATCAATCATATTTGATCAAAAGCATTCTTGGGAGGCAGGAATTCAACTGACCCCCCAGGGGGCTGAGGGGCGGGGCCAAAAAGGGTATTTGGCTATATTGCTTTAAGTGACTTCTTCTCTGGAACTAAGAGATGGATATCAACCATATTTGACTGGAAGCATCTCTAGATGGTGGTGATTCAAAATTGTACAAATGGTGGGGCTAACCCCCCGGCTAAGGGGTGAGGCCCAAAAAAACTTATTACTTGGAAATGGCTGAGATCCCTACCGTATAACCATATATACAATTGCTGAGTATAAAGAGATGAATGCACATATGCTTCCAGGATGGCCTTGGGGTCTGCCAAACCCTTGGAGACTTAACCCCTGGGTCATAACTTTGAAATGGTTAAGATCCCCACCCCAAAACTATATATACAATTGTTGGGCATAAAGAGAGGAATGCAGTCATGATATTAGAATTATATGTAACAAACATGTCTATATACATATTTTATCTATAACAAGTATGTATCTCTATGTAAATATTTTATATGTAACAAGCATGTCTCTCGATGTACATATTTTATATGTAACAAACATGTCTCTCTATGTACATATTTCATATGTAACAGGCATGTCTGTCTATGTACATAATATGCTTCCAGGATGGCCTTGGGGTCTGCCAAACCCTTGGAGACTTAACCCCTGGGTCATAGCTTTGAAATGGTTAAGATCCCCACCCCAAAACTATATATACAATTGTTGGGCATAAAGAGAGGAATGCAGTCATGATATTAGAATTATATGTAACAAACATGTCTGTTTATGTACATATTTTATATGTAACAAACATGTCTGTTTATGTAATATTTTTTTATGTAACAAACATGTCTCTCTATGTAAATATTTTATACGGAACAAGCATGTCTGTTTATGTACATATTTTAAATGTAACAAACATGTCTGTTTATGTACATATTTTTTATGTAACAAACATGTCTCTCTATGTAAATATTTTATACGTAACAAGCATGTCTGTTTATGTACATATTTTAAATGTAACAAACATGTCTGTTTATGTACATATTTTATATCTGACAAACATGTCTGTTTATGTACATATTTCATATGTAACAGGCATGTCTGTCTATGTACACATTTTTTATATAACAAGCATGTCTCGGTATGTACATATTTTATATGCAACAAGCATGTCTGTCTGTGTACATATTTTATATGTAACACACATGTCTGTTAATGTACATATTTTATATGTAACAAACATGTCTGTTAATGTACACATTTTATATGTAACAAACATGTCTGTTTATGTACGTATTTTATATATAACAAACATGTCTGTCTATGTAAATATTTTATACGTAACAAGCATGTCTGTTTATGTACATTTTTTATATGTAACAAACATGTCTGTTTATGTACATATTTTTTTATGTAACAAACATGTCTCTCTATGTAAATATTTTATACGTAATAAACATGTCTGTTTATGTACATATTTTTTATGTAACAAACATGTCTCTCTATGTAAATGTTTTATACGTAACAAACATGTCTGTTTATGTACATATTTTTTTATGTAACAAACATGTCTCTCTATGTAAATATTTGATGCGTAACAAGCATGTCTGTTTATGTACATTTTTTATATGTAACATACATGTCTGTTTATGTACATATTTTAAATGTAACAAACATGTCTGTTTATGTACGTATTTTATATATAACAAACATGTCTGTCTATGTAAATATTTTATACGTAACAAGAATGTCTGTTTATGTACATTTTTTATATGTAACAAACATGTCTTTTTATGTACATATTTTTTTATGTAACAAACATGTCTCTCTATGTAAATGTTTTATACGTAACAAACATGTCTGTTTATGTACATGTTCTATATGTAACAAACATGTCTGTTTATGTACATATTCTATATGTAACAAACAAGTCTGTTTATATACATATTTTATATGTAGCATGTCTCTCTATGTCAATATTTTATACGTAACAAACATGTCTGTTTATGTACGTATTTTATATATAACAAACATGTCTGTCTATGTAAATATTTTATACGTAACAAACATGTCTGTTTATGTACATATTCTATATGTAACAAACATGTCTGTTTATGTACATATTTTATATCTAACAAACATGTCTGTTTATGTACATATTGTATATATAACAAACATGTCTCTCTATGTACACATTTTATATGTAACAAGCATGTCTGTCAATGTACATATTTTATATGTAACAAACATGTCTGTCTATGTACATATTTTATACGTAACAAACAGGTCTGTCTATGTACATATTTCATATGTAACAAGCATGTCTGTCTATGCACATATTTTTTATATAACAAGCATTTCTCTGTATGTACATATTTTATATGCAACAAGCATGTCTGTCTGTGTACATATTTTACACATTTTATATGTAACAAACATGTCTGTTTATGTACATATTTTATATGTAACAAGCATGTCTGTCTATGTACATATTTTTTTATATAACAAGCATGTCTGTCTATGTACATATTTTTTATATAACAAGCATGTCTCTGTATGTACATATTTTATATGCAACAAGCATGTCTGTCTGTGTACATATTTTACACATTTTATATGTAACAAACATGTCTGTTTATGTACATATTTTTTATGTAACAAACATGTCTCTCTATGTAAATATTTTATACGTAACAAGCATGTCTGTTTATGTACATATTTTATATGTAACAAACATGTCTGTTTATGTACATATTTTTTATGTAACAAACATGTCTCTCTATGTAAATATTTTTTACGTAACAAACATGTCTGTTTATGTACATATTTTATATGAAACACGCATGTCTGTTTATGTACATATTTTATATGTAACAAACAAGTCTGTTTATGTACATATTTTATATGTAGCATGTCTCTCTATGTAAATATTTTATACGTAACAAGCATGTCTGTTTATGTACATATTTTATATGTAACAAACATGTCTGTTTATGTACATATTTTATATCTAACAAACATGTATGTTTATGTACATATTGTATATATAACAAACATGTCTCTCTATGTACCTATTTTATATGTAACAAGCATGTCTGTCAATGTACATATTTTATATGTAACATACATGTCTGTCTATGTACATATTTTATATATAACAAACAGGTCTGTCTATGTACATATTTCATATGTAACAAGCATGTCTGTCTATGTACATATTTTTTATATAACAAGCATGTCTGTCTATGTACATATTTTATATGTAACAAGCATGTCTGTCAATGTACATATAATGTACATATTTTATATGTAACAAACATGTCTGTTTATGTACATATTTTATATGAAACACGCATGTCTGTTTATGTACATATTTTATATGTAACAAACATGTCTGTCTATGTACATATTTTATATATAACAAACAGGTCTGTCGATGTACATATTTCATATGTAACAAGCATGTCTGTCTGTGTACATATTTTTATATAACAAGCATGTCTCTGTATGTACATATTTTATATGTAATATTTTCCTCATATGTATATGTTTATTGTTGTATTAATACAAG